CGGCACATGACTCGCCCAGCACATTGTCACTTGTTGGGCCGCCGCCCGGTGGAGAAATGCCCTCCATTGGGGCCTCGCTGGCCGACTTGCCAAGGGCCCGGCGCCCCTCGCCAAGGGCGCGCCCCGTCGACCCGCGCCGCTCGCGCGCCCGACGATCCACGGGGTCGAGTTCCGCAGAGCTCTCCGCCTCCTTTCCGACGGACCGCGTCGTCATCTGCGGGGCCGCCACATCCACGCATTCCCGAGCGCGACGCGCTCGCCCCGCGGATTGCGCGCGCTGGTCTGCAGTCGAAGGATATGATCGTGATATTCGCCGACATGTTCACAGCGCATGCACTTCGCCTCATGGAGTATCGCATGGAGATATTTTCGCGTCTATCCTCTGTCTGGGCTGATACGGCTCATGTTTGCTGACTATCCTGATCGCTTCGTCTTTGACCTGCGCGTTCGTCTTCGCGATCACATCCTTCGCGTTCTTCCATGTTTCCTGCTTCCTCTTCGTCATCTTTGCCAACGTGCAGTGCGTTGTGTTCTACCGGGCCTCCTTTCCAACCCTTTCCGTCCGCGGCCCCGAGGGCATGGCCCCCTTGCCGCGCCCCGGGTCAGCGGACAGGCGCGCGGAGGGAGGCCGCGCTCCGAGCCGCAGCGCCCCGCGACAGGGCTGGCGCGCACGTTTGCGCGCGGCTCTGCCTGGCCAGTCTGCGCGCGCCGGCGTTTCCGCGCCCGCGGCTGCGCGCCGCGCGCAGCGCGGACGCTCGCCACTGGGCTCGCCGCTGACTGTCTCCGCCCCCGCCGCGCCACGGACGACGGAGCGCCAGTTGCTGCCGGGTAGGCTAGAGGCCGCAGGAGACACGACCAACTCGAAGTAAGGAGCGCGACACCTGGCAGAGGACTAGGATAACAGTCAGGAGGAGGAGATCGCGCAAAGGCAGTGCCACCGCGGGGTCTCCAGATCCGCCCAACTCTGCCTCTGCTCAGCCTTCCCCCCTTCGTACTCCTCATCCACTTCTTCCACCCCGATGCATCCCGCGGAAGAGGCTGGCGGCGGGCTGCCTCATCTGTTGCCGCCGACGCCCGCCGGCAGCCATGGCCCCCACTTGTAGACGCCAAGCTCGAATGTCGTTTCAAAGCGCCGCCCATTAGATTTCCAGGCGAGGCAGCGCGCTAGCTGCTAGACAGCGGCCGCTATCCACAGTTGTCAGGGCGATCCCAGCGGGGCTCAAAGCGCCACTGACGCACGCGGCGGCTTGGGTCGCTTCCTGGCCAACAGCCGCAAGGACACGCATTCGTGGCCTACTTGTCCAGATGCAAGCCAGGCCGCTCGCGCCGCGAGACCCGCACCGCCACTGCGTTGGCATGCTCGTGTCCACTGCGACAGCATGCCCGACTGCCAGCTGAACCCAGCAGCAGCAGCAGCGCGTTGCGCCCTCTACCGCCTCGCTCGCTACGCTGCGGCCGTAGCTTGGGCAAGGGTGCGCCTGCCCTGCCGACGCGCCTCTCGTCTCCGCGCGCAGCGGCGAGGAGAGCGTCGATGTCTTCATCGCCTCCAGCATCATCAGCGCGTCGCAGCCCGCGAGGCCGCCCAGCAGGGCCGCCCGCGCGCGTCTGGCAAGACGCGCCAGCACGCAGCAACCGCAATTCGCCGTGAAAGCGCGCGCGTGCAGCAGCGCCGTCAACGGCACGTCGCACCGCGCGCCGCGCGACTCACGTCGGTTGGCATCCGCAGCGGCGCCGCAGCTGGCGCGCCGACGGTGTAGCACGCGCGCCGCCGTCTCGCGACCGATTCAACCTCGCGGTTGCAGGAAATTTGGGCACGTCTGCTATGCAAGCGCGCGTGCGTCGACGCCGCGGCTTGTTCTCGCTGGAGGCGCTACAGCACCCCCCCCCTCGGGCAGGAGGCGGCGGGGCGACGGCCGAGTTCAGCGCCGAGATGACCGCGCGCATCGCCAATGCGAAGTTGAACGCGCCCCCAGTTCTGACCGGCCCTCCCGAAGAGGGGGGGCGCGTCAGATCACTGACCAAGTCCGCTCAGGGTGCCCAGCGGATCCGGCGCCGACCGCGGGGCGAACGAAGCAAGGGGCCGCCAGGGTGATCGCGTTTCGACCTGCCGCGCGCCTCAGATGGGCGCCCGGTCGCGGAGCGCGAGTCGCTTGGCAGAACGCCGCCGCAAGTCAGCGGATGGCGGGCGCTGCCGTGCGTCGCGACGGTTGTCGCTGAGCGACTTGACTCCCTCCCCGCGCGTCGGATATTCAACGCGCGTTGGCAGGTTTTTTTTTTTTGCGTCGCGCTGGAAGGGGCATTCTGTCGCATCAGGGCACGACGTCCGCCGCGCAAGGGGCGTTGCGGACCAGCTTCGCCCGAGTGTGGAGGCCCGGCAGGTTCAGCGGGGCAGCGCCGCCATCGCGGGGTGGACTTCGGGCAATTATTCACGTCTGTTTAGCGGGGCAAGAACGACGTACCTTGGGCCGACAACGCATGCGGAAAATTTCGTGACCAGGACACTTGCGGAACATCTTTGGTAGCTCACAATTGGGCGACACACATGCAGTTGCTGTCGCGGTGTGTAGTGCAAAATTACGAGCTCGTGCATGACGACAGTATTCCATCGCCGTGCTTCCCAGGCGTCTTCGACGAAGACGTCGCGCGCGCCCTGGCCCTGCGCGCGCGGGCCTCTGGCTGCCACCGGGCTGCTGTCTCCATTGTGCGTTTCGCGCCAGCATTGAATGCGATCTACTGCGGGCTTGTAGCGCCGGCATTGGGAGCGACCAGCTGTGCGACGCGGACGACGCCCGGCAGCGCGAGATGCGGCGTCTTCGCCGCCCGGGGCAGACCAAGCCACGGGAGGATTGCAATCGAGATGATAGGAATTGTGTCGACGAGCTGCTGGTCGGCAGGAACTTCGCGGGCTCGCGCGCGGCCGCGACTCCGCGCCTGCAGATCGCGGCCGCGGCGCCAATCTGGGCGTCTGAGAGCATTTCTCCAGTGTCGCTGTTATTGTTGGCCGTCGGGGAGCTCTTCCTCGACGCGGCGCGCGCAATCAGCGATGGCGCCCGCGCGGCTGCGCGGCGCCCGCGCAGACGGCAGCGGAAGGCGCCCCCCGAACTATCCAGGCGCGCCTGGGTGGAGATTTCTACGCAATCGCTTCTCGCACTCAGCCAATTTTCGCGCATTGGGAGGCAGTGCGCGGGGAGCTCTTGGGACTTCTCCGAGGCTTTCGGAGACGTCTTTACTTGGAGTCTTTCGGGTGCTCTTGGGGGCCTCTCGGCGGCCTCCTGACCGCCTGTCGGGGGCTTCTTGGGGCCTCTCAACCTCTGGGGACCTCCTGGGGGCTGCTTATGGCCGAGGGCTCGACATGTTGTTTCGCGTTCCCCCTTTGGGGCCTCTCTCGGGGCGTTCTCGGAGCCTTCTTGGGCCGTCTTGGAGTCGTCTTGGGCGGTCCTGGAGCCTCCTGGGCCGTCTGGGGGCTCTTTTGGGGCCCTCTTAGATTTTCTTGGGGCGATGTTGGGGGCCTCTCGGGCCGTCTTCAGGCCTCGGGGGGCCGGAAAGGGGGAAGCGCCCAAATTTGTCCAAAACCTCCGGAACATCAATGAATTTTACCTCTTGGGGCCTTCTTGGGAGTGCTTTTGGAAGCCTTGGGGCGTCTGGGGGCCATGTTGAGCATCTTGGAGCGATCTTGCGGCTTCTCGGAGCCCTCTTGTTCCATCTGGCAATGGATCATCTATCGACTGCTTTTCATTCATCGCATCACAGGAGCTGTCGCGATCAGGTGAGCGCTTCGTGCCTGGCGTCGACGCCGACGATCGCCTTTCCTTCAAAGGGCGTGCACGCCGAGGCGGCGGAGCAAGTGTTCCACGTCGCCGGTCGCCGGCAGGTCGTCTTGTCCTGGGCGCGCCCGGTGCGCGAGGAGCTTTTGCTTCTGATCTTCGCGCGAGACCACAACCTGGAGGCAGTCCTGCCGCCGCGCTATCCAGACGCGCCGATCTGCTCAAGCCGCGCCGCCCGCTCGCCGCGGCAAGGCGAGCTTCTCGGCCGACGGGGGGGTCCAGCTCGCGGCAGCGAGTGCGGGGGGGCGCGGGCGCGACTTGCTGGCGCGTGCGAGCCGGCAGAATAAGCGGAAATTGATGCGGGCCCATGCGGGCCCCGCCTGAGCCAGCCCCGGAAAAAGAGGGGGGCCGCAGCGCTGCTCCCGCAGAAGCGCCCCGCGACCCCGCCCCGACCATGCGGAAACTGGAGCTATAAAGCGCGTGCTTTTGGATCAATGTCCGCAGCAAGACTGCGCACCGCGCAGTTTTGAGGGACTCTGTCTCGGCCAAGTGCGGCTACTTCTTCGGCCGGGATGCTGCGCCCCGCTGGTTAAACGCGGCCGACGTGCACGGCGCGCTCGCGTGCGGTAGCTGCTACGGGCTGCGGGCCTGCATAGTTCCTGATGGCACTTTACGAGGGCCTCTGCTCACCGGCATGGCCGAAGCAGCCGGGTCGAAGATGGGCGTGGCGTGGCGGGGAGGAACGCGCGTGTTGGCGTTGTGTTCCCTCGGTGTGGCCTTTCTCCGATGGAGACGCGCACTCAGGAGTGAAAATGCGCCGCGGGGCTACTTCCGCGCGCACTTTGCAACGGGCAGCGAGGCTCCTGGCGACTGACAAACTTCCTCTTGGTCTGCTTAGAAGACGTTTTCCCTGGTCTCATTCCGCTCGAGTCCGTTTGTCTCGGGCACCGCCGCTGAGCTGTCACCTCGGCTTGCGTCGGACGCTGCCCCACGAAAAAAAATCACATCGTCCAGCGTCCCAGGACGAGGATGGGAATGGGAGGAGGAGGACGAGGAGGAGGAGGAGGAGGAGGAGGAGGAGGAGGAGAAGGAGGAGGAGGAGGAGAGCAGGAGAGCAGGAGCAAGAGCAGGAGCAGGAACAGGAGCGGGCGCAGCAGCAGGAACAGGAAGAGGAGGACCTCCACGAGCAGGGCCTCGAGGGGCGGCAGCAGCAGCAGCAGGATCCCCCCCCAGCAGGACCAGCGCGGTTCCAGAGAAAGCCCGCCGTCCCTTTGCAGCAGCCCCGGCGTGGACTCCGCTTCCGCGGCTTCGGCCACGCAGCCGCTGGCGCCATTGGCGCCGCTGCGCTCTCGCGCCCCGTCCAGGGCGGAGGGCCAAACCCAGGTGACGGCGCCAACACCGACGACGCCGACGCCGACGCCGACGGCGGCGGCGCCGACGCCGACGCCGCCGCCGCCGCCGCCGCCGCCGACGACGACGACGACGACGACGACGACGGCAACGCCGACGACGACGACGACGACGATGACGCCGACGACGCCGACGACGTCGACGACGACAACGCCGACGACGAACGACGCCGACGGCAACGCCGACGCCGACGACGACGACGACGCCGACGACGTTGACGATGACGACGACGACGACGACGGCGACGACGACGACGGCAACGCCGACGGCGGCGACGCCGATGACGACGCCGAAGCTCCGACGCCGACGCCGACACCGACGCCGACGCCGACGCCGACGCTGACGCCGACGACGACGACGACGTCGCCGACGCGTTCGACGACGACGACGACGACGACGACGACGACGACGACGACAACGTTGACAACGACGTGGCAACGCCGACGGCAACGACGACGCCGACGACGATATCGCTGACGGGCGTGGTGGGCTTCTCGGCGACTGCGGCGGCGGCTGCTGCGTGGGCGCCCGAGGGGACCGCACCGAGGTTGACGGCGACGACGACAACGACGACGACGACGATGCCGACGCCGACGCCGACGGTGATGGCCATGGCGTCGCCGACGCCTACGCCGGCGCCAGCGTTGACGTTGACGCCGACGCCGCCGCCGCCGCCGCCGACGACGACGACGACACAAACGGCAACGCCGACGTCAACGACGACGACGACGAGACGATGGCGGTGTCCAGTCTGGCGGGCCCTTCGGCGATTGCGGCAGGCGACGACGGCTTGGGCGCCCCAGGCGACGGCGCCGACGCTGACGGCGACGACTCCGACGGCGACCACGACGACGACAACGCCGACGACGACGACGAAAACGACGACAACGCCGACGACGACGAAGACAACGAACAGGACGATGGCGCTGGCGGGCCTGGCGGGCTGTTCGGCGGCGCCGACGCCGACGTTGACGCAGAAGCCGCCGCCGCCGCCGCCGACGACGACGACGACGACGCCGCCGCCGGCGACGACAGCGCTGGCGGGCCCTTCGGTGACTGCGGCGGCGGCTGTTGCTTTGCTTGGCGGCCCCAGGCGCAGGCGCCGGCCACGACGGCGACGACGACGCCGACGACGACGACGACGACGACGTCAACGACGACGAAGAGGATAAGACGCCGACGGCAACGCCGACGGCAACGACGATGCCGACGGCGATGGCGGGCCCCTCGGCGATTGCGGCGGCGGTTGCAATGCCGACTGCGAGGACGCCGACGCCGACGACGCTGACGCTGATGCCAACGCCGACGCCGCCGACGACGAGGCCGACGACGCCGCCGACGCCGACGACGACGACGACGACGATGACGACGAAAACGACCAGGACGTCGCCGGCGGCAGCGCCGACGGCAACGACGACGCCGACGACGATGGCGCTGGCGGGCCTGGCGGGCCCCTCGGCGTTTGCGGCGGCGGCTGCTACTTGGCGGCCCCAGGCGCGCGCGCCGACGACGACGGCGACGCCGACGACGATGACGACGAAAACGACCAGGACGTCGCTGGCGGCAGCGCCGACGGCAACGACGACGCCGACGACGATGGCGCTGGCGGGCCTGGCGGGCCCCTCGGCGATTGCGGCGGCGGCTGCTGCTTGGCGGCCCCAGGCGCGCGCGCCGACGACGACGGCGACGCCGACGCCGACGTTGCCGACGCCGACGCCGACGCCGACAGCAACGCCGACGGCGACGCCGACGTCGAAGCCGACGCCGACGACAACGATGACGACGTGCACGGCGAGGACGTCGCCGACGGCAACGCCGACGGCAACGACGATGCCGACGACGATGGCGTTGGCGGCCCTGGCGGGCCGATTGCGGCGGCGGCTGCTTGGCGGCCCCAATCGCGGCCGCCGACGACGTTGCCGACGACGACGGCACCACCGACATTGGCGACGACGACGACAGCGGCGGCGGCGAGGAGGACGAGACGCCGACGGCAACGCCGACAGCAACGAAGGCGCCGACGACGATAGCAGGACCCTCGGCGACTGCGCTGGCGGCTGCACAACCCGACGGCGCCGACGCCGCCGACGGCAACGCCGACGTCGAAGACGAAACCGACGCCGACGACGCCGACGCCGACGCCGACGCCGTCGACGACTCCGAACACGACGACCACGACGCCGCCGCTGCAGCCGCCGACGGCGACGACGACGATGACGACGATCATGACGACGTGCACGACGAGGACGTCGCCGACGCCAACGCCGATGGCAACGACAACGCCGACAACGGTGGCGGCGGCGGCCGACGGCGCCAGGCGCGCGCGCCGACGACGACGGCGACGCCGACGGCAATGCTGACGACGACGACGACGCCGACGCCGACGTTGCCGACGCCGACGCCGACGCCGACGGCAACGCGGACGGCGACGCCGACGTCGAAGCCGACGCCGACGACAACGATGACGACGTGCACGACGAGAACGTGCCGACGGCAACGCCGATGGCAACGACAACGCCGACAACGTTGGCGCTGGCGGGCCTGGTGGGCCCCTCGGCGACTGCGGCGGCGGCGGCCGCTTGGCGGCTCCAGGCGCAGGCGCCCACGACGCCGACGACGGCAACACCGACGGCGGCGACGACGCCGACGACGACGACGACGACGACGACGACGACGGCGGCGGCGGCGTTGGCGCCGACGCCGACGCCGACGCCGACGACGATGACGCCGACGACGACGAGGAGGACGCCGACGACGACGAGGAGGACGAGACGCCGACGACAACGCCGACGGCAATATGACGACGCCGACGACGATGGCGGGTTGCAAGAATACCTCAGGCCTTCGCTCGGATCATTTACATGTCGGAGGGTGTTTGGAGAGCTCCCCGGGCAACTCCAGCGGGTCTTGGGTGGCTCTTCTCGGGAGGCCCAGCGGCATGTTTGTTTCCTATGATGCGCAGGTTCGAAGGATTGCAAAAAAAGCCATGGATTGCAAAAAGGATTGCAAAAAAAGCCGAAGGATTGCAAAAAGGCTTTTTTTGCAATCCTTCGGCTTTTTTTGCAATCCTGGGCTTTTTTTGCAATCCTTCGGGCAAGCTGCGCATCGCCTCTGCGCAGGACGAATTGCCGAGCGCGACCATGCTTGGTTCTCATGCGGCGCTGGCCGTTCGCTGGTGGATACTGCGCGGCGGCAGAGTCCCCGATCCTCAGGGGCCTTCTCGGGCATGGGGGTCTTCGGCTGGAGTCCTCCTCCTCCTCCTCCTCCTCCTCCTCCTCCTCCTCCTCCTCCTCCTCCTCCTCCTCCTCCTCCTTGGGCGCGGAAGCCTTGCTCGGGCAGTTCCAGCGCGTGGGGGCCGGGGCCGCGCTTTGGAACGTAGCCCCCCCCCCCAGACTCTGCTCGCCCCTCACCTTGCTGGTCGCGGCCCCTGGAGGCGCCGGCACGGGGGAGATGCGTGGTTGACCCGATTGTTGCCGCCAGCGGCATTGCTGCTGGCCGTCTGTTTTGCATCCTCCATGCGCGCATGTTGCCACCGGGCTGTCGTGGGAGTACGTAGCCTCGCTGAACGCCGCTGTTTTCTACGATTTCTACTTGGGCGACCGGTCCATTACTTGCCGTGGGGCGACGCGGAGAGCGCTGGTCCTGGCCGCGGCTGCCGCCAAGGAGTTTGCCCGGTCGCCGCGTCGCCCGTGTCGCTGGCTCGTCTCTTCTCGGCGGCCGGCGGCGAGCTCCAGGCAATCGCCGCCAATCTTGGGCGTGATTACACCGCGGGGAAGTCGTTCGGCAGGAGCGGCAATGCCGCCGAGCGAAGCAGCGGAATCAGAGCGACGCGACTTCGCGGCCGAAGGTCGCGCGGGCTCGCGGACACTAAGGGGCAAAAGTGGATAATCGCCACCGCTGGTCTACTTACTGCTGGGGCTTTGGGCCCAGGTGGACGGGCTCAGTCGTGAAGCCCTTGATCCGCTTCGTTCCTTGGTGGCCGCCCAGACCACCCCTGTTCCGCTGAGAAATCTCGCAGCTCGACTTTCGCTGCAGCTGGGCCCAGGGCCAGCCGCTGGGCCCTCGGGCCCGTTATCCAATGGGCGTTAGAGGCCAGGGGCACCGTGTTGGGGGAAAACGCCATTCATAGGGCCATCGCGTGTTCTTGTTAGAGCCCAAAGAGATGTTCAGACAGCCCGTCCCGCGGGCAATATCAAGTTCTCCGCTGCGCGAGGATCACTCAGCGCAGCTGCCCGCGCCTGCAGAGGGCGGGCTGGGAGCTCACCTCGGCCGCTGCCCTTTCAGGACCACTTCGGCAGGGCTATCATCAGGAGGAAAAGGAACACAGACACAATTAATCGTCGAATCCCAGGAAAATATAGGAAAGTATCGGAAGTGGGGGGGAAGACGAAAACCCTGAAAATATTAGAAAATACAGGGAATCTGGTTGTTTGTGTGTATTTATTTGTGTGCCCCAGGGCCCCTTGATATCAAGCTCGCGGGCGTCTCGCCAGCACTAACGGCGGATCTCCTTCAGAGCGCTTCGCAACGGCGGTGAGAGATAACTGCGGCCAAAACGCATGGGAGGCCCCCGGCCCACGTCCAAGGCGTGTCCCGACGTTGCCAGGCCCCTGCTGTTGCCAGAGCAAGACAGGGCTGGACCTAAACGGTGTTTTGGCGATTTCGTGGGACGTTTTCGTTTCGACTTCGTTTTGCGATAGAGGTGGATCGAAGACAAAACCAGGGAAAACGAAAACAATACGAAAACGAAAACACCGTTTAGGTTCAGCCCTGGCCCCTGCTGATGCCAGAGCAAGAGGTTAGCCCTCAACGCAAGGCCATTTTTCAAACCCCAGCAGGTCGAAGATGGCGGGCAGAAGACAAGCTGCCTCAGCTTGGATACGGTGGCCGCGATGTCCCCCCCCTGCGTCAGAAGTCGAGGCCAGCCGCGCTCCGCGCGCGGAGCGCAGCCCGCCGCGCTTTTTCGGAGTCTTCGAGCACCCAGGCGAGCAGCATGACGATGTCCCGCTACCAGTGGAATCACACATTGTCATGTCCAAGCCAGAGACAGTCCGCGACCTCGGGGTTCACGGGGGCTGACGGGTCATGCGCCAGAGCAGGCATCGCTGAATGGCGTAGGGCCACTTTCTCGGTGGTGGCGCACAGTGGCGACGGGGCCCCTGTGGCCTCTCTGACTCGGGCCATTGCGGCTAATGCACCTCAGACCCCGCAGGATGGGGAACGCATGGGCTTCCTGGTCCTCCAGCATCTCACAGGCCCTCGCTAAGCTGGCTAGGCATTGGGTGGACGGCTAAGCGGTCTTTGACCAGTGGGCCAAGCTTGCGCCGCAGCGTCCCAGAGCAAAGCGTAAGAATTCTGGCCTCCATGAGCTTACGCTGGCGCCAGGCAGTAAAACTTCTCCCAGAAGCCATCGAGGTCAGGAGCCGCCAGGACTCTGAGAGATTAGCGGGCGAGGCCAAGCTGGCTGCTGAAATCAGTCAGGCTGAGGATTCGGCCGCCGAAGAAGCGCGCGTCGCGCCATTCTGCATCTACTCTTTCAGCGCCGCAGCAGCTCGCGCGCGCAATTGTCGCTGCCGGAGCGGTGGCCATCTCTGCCTCCTCTCTTTCTATCTCCCTCTCTCTCTCTCTTTCAATCTCTCTCTATATATATATACACATATATAATATACATATGGTTGAGCCCTATTTTTGTTGTTTGTTTGTGATTATATATTTTCTCTTTTCCTCTCTATTGCTCTTTCTCTTCCTCTTTCTCGTTCTCTCTCTCTCTCTCTCTCTCTCTCTCTTCCACGCGCTCTCTCTCTCTCTCTCTCTCTCTCTCTCTCTCTCTCTCTATATATATATATATACGCCTGTATCTATGTCAACAAATATAAATACACACCCGTTTTAGTTATGTTATGTTTCTCTCTCTCTCTCTCTCTGTCTCTGTCTCTGTCTCTGTCTCTGTCTCTGTCTCTCTCTGTCTCTGTCTCTGTCTCTCTCTCTCTCTCTCTCTCTCTCTCTCTCTCTCTCTCTCTCTCTCTCTTCTCTCTCTCTCCTCTCTCTCTTCTCTCTCTCTCTCTCTCTCTCTCTCTCTCTCTCTCTCTCTCTCTCTCTCTCTCTCTCTCTCTCTCTCTCTCTCTCTCTCTCTCCCTCTCTCTGCCGGAGCCGGGCGCGCGAGCGGGCGTGCCGCGCTGGGGCGCAAGAAAAAGGCTTGCGGCATTGTCTGCGCGCGGGAGCTCCCGGGCGGCCCTGTCCCCCGGCGATGCTCGGCCCGACCTGCTCGTGCCGGGGCCCCCAGAGCGGTCCGCGCCAGGGGAGGTCGCGCGCGCGGGCCGCTGCGGCGCGCGGGCCGCTGGTGGGAGCGCGCGCGCGCGCGTCTCGCCGGGTGGCAGTTGCTGACCCCGCCGACGCGCCGACCTGCCGCCGCGTGCGGTGCGGCAGCTGTTCTCGGCGAGCACTTCGCGGCCCGCTAGCGACGCGCCGGGGCGCGCCGACGCTTCGTCAGCTTTTCGCGCACGAGCATCCCCGCCTCGGCCAGCGCGCGGCCGCTCCGCAGCGTTGCCGCGCGGCTGAAACGCGGTCGGAACAGGGTGCTCAGTTGCAGCCGCTGCCTCGGCGCGTTTCCCTGGGCGAAGCGCAGGGGCTCCGCCGGGCCGCGGCCCCCCCGCGGGGAGGGGGGCGTCGAGGCGCCCCTGCCCCCGCCTGCGGGGCCGCGCTGGGGGCGGCTCGGACTTGGCCGAGCTTCGAGGGACTGACCCCGACTCGGCAGCTGCCGGGCAGCACTTCGCATTTCCGCTTTCCCCCTCTTCCCACATTCGCGTTGCCAGCAGCGTTGCGTCCATGGGCAGCACCCCCCCGCCTGCCGACTGCGCCGCGCTGGCCGCGCGGGGCCGCCGGCCCTGCCCGCGGCGGGAGCGGCGCGATAGAGGCTGCGCCTCCGCCCCCCGGACCAGTGGATGGCGCGCCCTCTGGGCGCTGTGCCCCGCGCCGCTGGGCGCGCGCAGCCTGGGCCGAGCCGCTTGCCCGCCGCGCTGTCCGACGAATCTCGCCGGGGCCTCCTGTTTCGGGGGGGGGTCGCTCGCGGCGCGCAACCTCCCTCGAGGGCCTCGCCGTCGGCCGCGCGGGGCGGCCCGCGCCCGCGCTCTGCGCCGCCGCCGTTCCTTTAGATCCGCTGCTGGCGCGCTCGGCGCGCCAGCGTTCCTCTGCGCGCTCGGCGCGCAGAGGCGAGGCGCCCGCCCGCTTCTCGCGCCGCCCCCGCCGCCGCGGCGTCCGAGCGCGGCGCAGGTGGCAGGCCAGAAGGCATTCGCCATGGCGCTGCGGGGGGGAACTAGAGCGCGCGCGAAAGCAGGCGCGGACCTCCACGCCGACGTAGCTCCTCGACCTCTCCGCATGACGATGAAGGGCTCAATGGGCCTCTGCGGCAGCAGGAGAGACGACGGACATGGGCTCGTCGGTTCGCTGCCCCCGCCGCTACCTCCCGCCCCGTGACTCCTGCAGAGGGAGTGAGAACTCAAGGCTTCACATCGGGTTCGCTCCCAGCTTTTCCGCGGCGGGTTATCGCGGGCGTCTGCGGTTCGGCCAGTTCGGCTTCGTCGCAGTCGGTTGCGCCCGCTCGGCTCGGTTCGGTCGGTCGTTGCGCCGTCGCTCCGTCGCCGCGCCCGTCTGCGCTGCTTGCGGCGCGTCAGTTTCAGTTGGTCTCGCTTTCGTTAACGGTTCAGTCAGTTTTTGGATGCGCTGTCACTGTGGACGAGCGACGTTTGTAACAACTTGTGTATGATTTGCACTTGCCGGCGCAAATTTGGGCATGGAGCTGCGCTGGGGGAAATGTCAGTTGCTCAAACAAATTGCGTTTTGCGCGTTACCGATCCCGTTGGAAAGCTCCATATTCCCACCGCGCACATGAAGTGCTTGGGAGCCAAGCTGCGCGACGCCGGGAACATAAAGGATGAGTTGGGCAGGGATTTTTGTTGGGATTCATCACACACTTGATGTTTTTTAGTGCATCTTAGTGCCCAGAGGTAGAGCAGAGTAGAGCAGTGCAGGTAGGAGATAAGTAGCACAGCATGTTGCAAACTGATTTTCTCCATAGCCATCTGGTCCAACCAGGAAAATATTCGCCATGGTAGCGTGAGCGGTTCATGCCAACGCAACGTGGCCGGCGCCAAGCTGATGCCCAGTGCTGGCGGGAGTCACGCGGCCAGGCGCGCCGCGCGGGCATCCCGTCTCCGCCGCCTCGTCCGAGAGCGCGGCCAGGCCACGGGGCGGGCAGCTCCGCCTGTGGCGGGAAGAAGGGGCCGGGGCGGGACCGGAGCCCCACCCCGCCTTGGCGCCGGGGCCTGAGCCCGACCCCGCCTTGGCGCGCGGGCCGCCCCGCCGCCAGAGCCGGCGCCGCCGGCAAGCGTGGCTGCGCGGGTAGCCCCGCCGCCGCAGAGAGGCAGCCGACGGAAGGCCGCCGTCTCTGGAGTGCTCCTCGGACGACAGAGCTCCAGGAGCGCTTCAGCAAGCTAACGAGAGATCGCAGCTGTTCCTGGAGATCCTCCAGGCGGATCTCCAGGAACAGCTGCGAGCTCTGACAGCTCAGACGAGGCAGCTAGCAGAACAGCTAGCCCAGCAGCAGCAGCTGGATCAGCAACAATAAGCGCAGCTGCAGCAGCAACAACAGCAGGCAGCACCAGCGCAACCCCAGGCACTACCACAGCAGCTCCTGGACTTCCTGGCGCAGTAGCAGCAGCTACTCCAGCAGCAACAAGCCCAGCACCAGCAGCATAACGAACAGAACATGCAGCGCATGATGCAGTCGTTCGCCGAAAGCCTCGGTACGAGGTCAGCATCGACGATGACGACCTCTGAGAGACTGCGCCTGGTCGACACGAGAGGGATCGGCAAACCGCAGCCACTGAAGGCGACACCTGGCCATCTTTCTGTTTCAAGTACTTGAACTTCATCTCGAGCATGTTCCCGACTGCTAGGGATCTGCACGAGTGGGCCCAGAGCCACGAAGACACGATCAAGACCATCGAGGAGGCGCTTGCGATCGACCCGGACGCAGAGCGCATCCAGAACCAGCTGCATGCCGCACTGGCGCAGCTGGTGGAAGGTGAGTCCGAAGAGATCGCGCGCAACTGCGAGAGCCACAGGTTCCGCGGGTTCGAGAGCTGGAGGAGGCTGGTCAGGCGTTGGGACCCCATGAACTTGGGGCGCAAACGGTCCATCCTACTACGTGTCCTGAATCAGCCCGAACACAAGCTAGAGTACTTGAGAGGAGCCATCGAGGCATGGGCACAGTATATCACTCGATATCAGCAGAGGGCCAAGAAAACAATCGACGAAGACATCAAGACCGCCGTCTTGATTTCGATGTGCCCGAACCCACTGAAGCAGCACTTGCAGTTGAAGCAGGACCGGTTCGACTTCTACGATGAGGTCCTGAACGAGATCACCCAGTATCTCGAAACGCGCCGCGTCGTCCAGCATGACAATCCCGCGCCGATGGACGTCGGCAGCCTGCAGAAGGGCTCCGGCAAGGGCCGCGGCAAGGGCAAAGGCAAGGGCAAGGGCAAGGACGCGGGCAAGGCGTCTGGCGCCAAGGGCAAGCAGCCTTTCCAGGGCTACTGCGGCAAGTGTTGGGAGTGGGGCCACATGGCCAGAGACTGCGCGAACGGCAGCGGCAAGGGCCGCGACTCCGCCGACAAGGAGTGCGGCGTGCGTGGCAAGAAGGGGCACCTGAGCAAGGACTGCTGGAGCGCGACGGCCAATGGCGGGCCATAGGGCAGCAAAGGCGGCAAGTCCAAGAAGGGCGGCAAGAAGGGGCTCAACGGCATGGAGGTGTCTGAGGAGCACGAGAACCAGCCAGGGCCGGAGGTGGGGGGCCTCGAGCCCTGCGCGGTAAAGAAGATCGACCAGGGCGCCGGGCCGCTCGACGACCTGTTCCAGGCCGCCTTCGAGAGCTTGGACGGCATCTTCGGCTGCGCGGTTAGCCCCACCCCGGAACAGCTTGCAGTCAGCGCGGGACGCCCCGCCGACGTGCCAAAGCCTCGCGGAAAGCGTTTGCCGAAAAAGGCTAGAGAGAGGCAGAAGAGGAAGCAGCAGTGGGCAGCAGGAGTAGCAGGAGGAAAACCAGGATAATGCGAGCGTTGCGAGCAGGAGGTTCAGAAGGAGGAGCAGGAGGAGACTCTACACGCCGAAGTACGACCAGGAATACGAGGTGATCTTGGCTGCCGTGGACAGCGGCGCCCGCGTTACCATCATGCCAGAGGAGATGCGCAGCGACCACCCGGTCGACCCAGACGGGGGCGGCATCGAGTACAATGCGGCAGGAGGCCAAACTGTCACTGACAAAGGCCAGAGGAAGTTGCAGGTGTTAACGGAGGAGTGGCAGCAACGTTCCCTGAAGAGCCGGGTCGGGCCAGTCCGTCGCATGTGGCTTGTTGCCAGTGGTCTTGTGGATCACGGGGGCCGCGTGGTTCTCCAGAAGAACGGCAGCTACGTGGGGCACATCGGCGCGAAACAGCGGGCCCCCTTGAGCCGAGCCAACGGGATCTTCCTCATGAAGCTGTGGGTAAAGAAACGCAAAACGCCTAAACAGGGAGGCGTTGAATGTGCAGCGACCCCCATGGAGATCGACCATATGATCGCGGCGCTCCAGAAGCTGCAGGCCGCCGGGGGCGCGCAGGTGCCCTCGAGGAGCGTCGTCGAATCGAGGGTAGCTGAGTCGATGGGTTTCTTCCGGCAGGTCCAGCCGTAGGACCGTCAATAATTGTTTCACCAACAATAGGGCATTCAGCCCTTAAGACTACTTGTGTTCGTAATGTTTCACACGGTTTACCGAGTGAGGTAATGCCACTAGACGCGGGTAGCACCGCCCGTGGCTTGGGCCCTGTGGCCCATGGCACCAGCAGTGGCCTTTACGAAGGGCCAGCAGCAAGAGGCGCGGGTAGTTCCGCCCTCGAAGAGAGCGCCGGCGGCGGCGCCCAAGGCAGCAGAAGTGAACCCATGGGCCCACCCAGGGACCCACCTGAACAGGCCCCTCCGGGAGCAGAGGTCCCGGTTGAGGAGGAGTTCAGTAGTGAGATCTGTGCTCCTACGAGGTCACCGAGTGTTCCAACACCGAAAGAGGCCGAAGAACACGAAGCTTCGCAGCACCTGCCGTTCCGGTCTTGGTGCCCAGACTGCGTGCATGGGCGTGGCGCGGCGACCGCCCACGCCGACCTTGCAGCGGAGCTAGAGGCTAGAGCACGCGACGCCGACGATATCCACGGACAATTTCTTCTTGGGTGGCTCCGACCAGCAGGCGGTCGCACGCCTGGCAAAGGTGGACCACAAGACCCGCCTCAAGACAGCGCGGGTGGTCCCCCAGAAGGGGTTTCACGAGGCTGTAGTCAAACAGGAGGCCCGTGATATCAGGAACTGGGGGAGGAGGAAGTTCATCTACAAGTCAGACCAAGAGAACCCAATTGTTGCGATGAAGGACTTCGTGATTGCTCAGCTTGGCACTGACTTCGAGGTGGTCCCAGAGCCTTCTAAGGTAGGGGGGTCTCAAAGCAATGGCACGATCGAGAGGACGATGCAATCCATCTCTGGGATGGTGAGAACCCTGAAGGTGGCAACGGAGAGGGCGTTCAAGATCACGCTCGACCCCCGGTCGAACATTTTACACTGGCTTGTGCAGTTCGCCGGTTTCTCGCTGTCGCGGTGCGAGCAGGGCGCCGACAGCAGGGCGCTGCATGGGCGTGCCAAAGCAAAGCGTTTCAAGCTTGGTCTCCCAACGTTCGGGGAGAAAGTCTTCTACAGGAGGCTGTGGAGCGACAGCGGTCTTCTTTAACAAGCTCGACCCTAAAGGGTTTGGAGGGAGTGGTCTTGGGATGCAGAGACGACGCCCCTGAGTTCTTCATCGGAACGAAGGATGGCGTGGGCAGGTCGGCAGATATCCGCCGACTGCCGCCCAGCACCCGCTACGATATGGAAGCACTGTTGGCTGTGAAGGGAACGCCGTTGGATCCAGTCCCAGGGGGGGCGTCGCCATCGCTACCGGAATCCTCCGATTGACGTTCCAGAGCCGTCCATGTTGCCGCCAGATCCTCCGAGGCATGAGCCAGAGGTCGCATCGAAGAAACGGTTGTACATCACCAAGCAAGACCTCCGGAGGCACGGCTGGGCGCGAGGGTGTCCGCGGTGCGAGGCGGACATGCGCGGCGAGAAGACAACGCAACGCCACGCGGAAGGGTGAAGGAAACGCATGGAGGAAGCGATTGGGAAAACCGACCAGGGGAAGAAACGCTTCAGAGAGGCGGGCGAGAGGATCACGGAAGCGCTAGCCGACCACCTCCAGAGACAGGTGGAGGCCCAACAGGCGCTCGAGCAGGGCGCGGGCAGTTCCGCCCATGCCGGCGCAGCGCCGCAGGGTAGCAGAGTTGCGGGTAGCACTGCGCCTGCCGCGGCACCTGGGCCAGGAGCAGGGTGCGCGGGGAGTTCCGCCTCCGCTTCTGGGGCCTGGCCAGCTGACGCCGATATGCCGCAAGCGATTGCACCTATGGCAGTGGGCGCGGGTAGCCCCTCCCCTGCCAGCCCCCCGAGTGGCGACCGCGCGCCCATGGAGGACGTGAGGCCGAAGCGAAAGGCCGATGCAGAGGCTGAGGTGGTTTTCCTCAGCGTTGCCCTGCGGGAGCTGGGCGCCTTCGAGGCGCCGGGCCCCGCGACCGGACGCGCCGCCTCGGAGCGGTTGGGCTGCGCAGGGGGCCGCGTGATCGGCATCCGCAGAGCGGACCCGGACGACGGACGTCCTTGGGTCTGCAGCGAGCCAGTGAAGCAACAGAAGGTGTCATGGATGATCGAAGAGGGGAATCCAGACCTCGCTGTTGGTTCGCCTTTGTATTATTCCTCAAATTCTCTTCGTCATGTTCGCGAATGTTTTACGATTTATAGGGGGAGGATGGAGGGGGGGAGGTACTTCTTACATGTGCAGCCTGATTGTGATGATACTGTCTGGACGTCGACTGTCGCACAGGACGTTCTCAAACAGGACGGCGTGTATCTTGGGAGAGCGAAAGGTTTGCGGTGGCTGTCCAACGGAGCTCAGCTGGCCAGCTGCGTGGCGTCGCAGATCCCAGGAGAGCCGGTCGACACCGCTACTGTCTAGGGCCTCGAGGCGCAGCTCAGAGCAGACAGGAGAAGGAAACCACTCGCTTGCCCCCTGGAGCCAGAGGAGGAATTGAACGAACGCGTTTCCATGGGCGATGGGCCGGATCATTCATCAGACGTGCATGTAGAGGACGTGTCTGGGTGTGTCCTCGACGTAGTGCTCGTCAAAATGGCCCGGGGGGCTGAGTTGAGCGAAGTTGATGACTTCAACGTCTACGCTTGGGCTCGTGTGGAGGAGGCCTTGCAGGCAACAAGAAAGAAACCGATTGGCGTTCGCTGGGCTGACGCCAACAACGGGGACCAGAACAACCCGAACTACAGGAGCCGCCTCTGCGCCAAGGAACTCAAGCTGAAGGATCCTGGAAAGGAGGGGACCTTTGCAGCCACGCCGCCTCTAGAGGCGCTGCGTTTCCTATGTTCCTTGATGATGGCCGCGCCTGGACAGGAGGGCGCGGAGGCGCAGCAGCGCGGAGTTATGGTGTCGTTGTTCATGGATGCTACACGCGCCCACTTTCACAGCCCAACAGATGAGTTGATCTACGTGGATGCGCCGCCGGAGCGGCACCGACCAGGGTGGCGTCGGCGCCTGCTGAAGAGCACGCATGGGACTCGCCGGGCAGGACACAATTGGGAGCGATTCTACACCAGCGTGTTGGTCGAACGTCTTTGTTTTACCCAGGGCTTGAGCAGCCCGTGCTTGTTTCTTCACGGTAAACGCCGTGTGCGGGCTTGGGTGCATGGAGATGATTTCGTCTTCCTTGGTTCGCGTGCAGATGCCCCATGGGAGTCTCATGGGTCGAGGAGCAGATACGGCAGCACATTGAGATGAAACGGATTGGCTTGCTGGGTCCAGGAGCCCACGACGACAAGGAAGTCCGATGTTTGAATCGCATTATTCGGCTCGACACTTCGAGGGATTGTCTCGAGTGGGAGTGCGACCCAAGGCGCGCGCAGATCACGGTCGAGCAGATGGGTCTCCGGAGGGATTCTAAAGGAGTGGTGGCCCCAGGTGTGGCTGTTGCCATGCCGGACCCAAAGGGCGATCCAGTTCTCGACAGAGGTGCAGCCACCCTGTTTCGTTCAGTCACCATGAGGACCGCGTACCAGGCAATGGATCGACCAGAGTTGTTGTACCCAGCCAAGGAGGCAGCAAGGGCAATGCAGAACCCAACGAGAAGCGCGATAGAGAAGATCAAGAGGATCGCTCGGCATCTCGCGTCGGCGCCGCGGGTCGCGCAGGTGTTCCAACGACAGCCGGGGCAGAGCAAGCTGGTGCAGTATACCGACGCGGGCCGCGCCGGGTGTAAAGTCACCCGGAGGTCAACATCCGCAGGTGTGACTATGCACGGCAGCCACACGTTGGCAGCGTATTCTACGACGCAGAAACCAATAGCCACCTCCAGCGGGGAGTCGGAGTACTATGGCATGTTCAAAGTATGTTCGCGTCTTGTCGGCATGACACTCATGGCCAAGGATTACGGCATGGCCTACAACGGAGAGCTCCGAGCAGACGCGTCCACAGGTATTGGGATCGCGTCCAGACGCGGCATTGGCAAGATTCGCCATTTGCACACGCAGGCACTGCGGCTACAGCAAGCAGTGGCCGAGAAACGACTGAGCGTCGCGAAGACGAAGGGCGAGGGCAACCCAGCCAACCTTCCCACGAAGCACGTCGACGGGAAGATGATGTGGCGTCATCTGGCCGACCTCGGCTTCGAGTCCCTGAGCGGCAAGAGCAAGCTCGCCATCGACGTGGCAAGGGGTGCGTAAGTTCCACGGCGCAGTAGCAAGGTGGCTTGGGTCAGCGGCTGCGGGGGCACCGCGCCGGAAGGCGAAGCGGGGGGCTCCGCTTGTGCTACGCGTAGCGCGGGTAGCCCCGCCTACGAGGGCGCGAAAGCACGCCTGTAGAGCCCGCCGCGCGGGTAGTCCCGCCGTGGACCCCACGCTCCACTACCTCATAGGGCACGGCCGCACAAAGCGAAGGCTTAGTGGCGACCGTGAGAAGGGACGTTGGGATTCATAACACACTTGATGTATCTCAGTGCATCTTAGTGCCCAGAGGGAGAGCAGAGGAGCAGTGCAGGGTAGGAGATAAGTAGCACAGCATGTTGCACAAATGATTTTCTTCCACAGCCACCTGGTCCAACCAGGAAAATTTTTCGTCTGACTTCAACGGTATGCGCAGGCGTTTGGCTGAACAAATCTGGTAGACGTAGGCTCGATGGGTTCCGAGCCTAGCGTATACGTGCAATAGTGGGTATCACGCCATTTTATATGTCAAGATTGCCCAACACAGCCAGATGGGGAACTATGGAACAAAGATTTTACACTGAGCAGCTATCCGAGGTTTGTCGCAACAGCAATGCGGATACATTGAGACGATGTGCTCAACAGTTCGCGCCCAGCAGCAAACAACGTGAAACTATCTCGTGCGAGACCGAGACATCTATGGACACATGGTTCGTTCGACAGAGTAAAAGTAAAATATTGCTTCCCCTCCGAACGACGCTGGCCCGAATCCATCATGGATGAAAGGTTTGGAAAGAATTTGCGTCGAAATGTACATGCACATGCCCGTGGGCCCCTGCAGGCCGCCTTTCCACGCCAGTGAATGCTTTTTGTCGGCCCCTCGGCGGTGGCCTCTCGGCAACGGCCCCTCGCGGTGGCCCTCGGCTGCCCTCGCGGCGGCAGGCGACAACGGCGAGCAACGGCGCTAGACGACGACGACGACGACGAAGGTGACGACGACGACGACGACGACGACGACGACGACGACGACGACGACGACGACGACGACGACGACGACGACGACGACGACGACGACGACGACGACGACGACGACGACGACGACGACGACGACGACGACGACGACGACGACGACGACGACGACGACGACGACGACGACGACGACGACGACGACGACGACGACGACGACGACGACGACGACGACGACGACGACGACGACGACGACGACGACGACGACGACGACGACGACGACGACGACGACGACGACGACGACGACGACGACGACGACGACGACGACGACGACGACGACGACGACGACGACGACGACGACGACGACGACGACGACGACGACGACGACGACGACGACGACGACGACGACGACGACGACGGTCGACGGTCGTCGCTCGTCGGCCAGCGGCCCGACGGCACGCGCGGGCCCCTGGCGAGGCGACGCCCGGCGGGGGCGACGGCGACGGGCAGCCCGCCGCGGGCAGCCCCGAGCCGCCCCGGGCGCCCAGCCCGCGCCCGCCGCGGTCGCCGGCGGAGCTGGAGGGTCGCGGGCTCGCCGTGCAGGGCCTGCACGAGGTTGCCCTTCCCCCCCTCCCCTCCTCCTCCTCCTCCTCCTCCTCCTCCTCCTCCTCCTCCGCCTCCTCCGCCTCCTCCTCCTCCTCTTCCATTTCTGCGTCCTCCTGCTGGACGTTGTCCTTCCTCCCCCTTCGTCCTCTTGTGCGTGCGCCTCATCGTCGGGTGGCCCTCCTCCTTTTCTCCCTTCGCTCCTTTCTCTTGTAGATAACTCTTCCCTGTCGCACCCCGGGGCGGGTCGAAAGGGTGGGCCAGGCGTTTCGTCTGAGGCGCAGTAACAATGTGTGGTCCTGAAGCTTGGAATTTGCAAGGGCTTCACGGACGGGGGCCGGCCCGCGTTCGAAGTGTGGTTCTCGCCTTAGCGCCATGCACATAGTGTGATAAGCCTGCACATGGATGGACGGCGGTTCTTTTTTCAAATGCTGCGGCTCACGCTTTTTTCCCGGAAAGGGCGTAGGCCCAGGGTTCTCTTTTAGTATGTAAACATATCCCCCCGTGCCCAACTTGAAGGAGGCCGGCGGATTCTTTCCCTGATAAATATCGAGGTCGAAGGAGGCCGGCGGATTAAAATTTGAGGATGTCTCAGGCGAAACGCTTGTTTTTGAAATCCGATCGATAAATCACAGGGTGCGGGACACCTCAGCACGCACACCTCAGCACGACCACACCCCAGCACGACCACGCCCCAGCACGACCACGCCCCAGCACGACCACACCCCAGCACGACCACACCCCAGCACGACCACACCCCAGCACGACCACACCCCAGCACGACCACACCCCAGCACGACCCGATCGATAAATCACAGGGTGCGCACCCCAGCACGCACCCCAGCACGACCCCACCCCAGCAAGACCACACCCCAGCACGACCCACCCCAGCACGACCTTACCACAGCACGACCACACCCCAGCACGACCACGCCCCAGCACGACCACGACACCACGCCCCAGCACGACCACGCCCCAGCACGACAGCACGCCCCAGCACGACCACCCCAGCACGACCACACCCCAGCACGACCCCAGCACGACCCCAGCACGACCCCACCCCAGCAAGACCACACCCCAGCACGACCACACCCCAGCACGACCTTACCACAGCACGAGCACGACCACGCCCCAGCACGACCACGCCCCCAGCACGCCCCAGCACGACCACACCCCAGCACGTCCCCAGCACGACCACACCGCCTTGGTTGAGTGGTTGCCTGTCGTCGTGGAATGTTTCGTGGGGTGTCTCGTGGAATGTTTCGCGGGGTGTCTCGTGAAATGTTTCGTGAGGTGTCTCGTGGAATGTTTCGTGAGGTGTCTCGTGGGCTGTTTCGTGAGGTGTCTCGTGGGATGTTTCGTGAGGTGTTGCCCAGTTGGGTATCATGAAAACGTGTCCATGCTCCACATGTCTATATCCCTTTCCGGGTTCGTGGGTCCATCATGTTTAGCGCCGTGCGCAGTCGTGCAGACAATTGCAGACATTCAACGGATGGAGTGTGGTTTCGTTTTCAAAATGTGGTTCTCGCCTTCACGTCGCGCTCATTTGTTTATAAGGGCTTGCAAGAGTTAGTGAATGGAGAGCGCTTCTTTTTCACAATGTCGTTCTCGCTTTAGCACTGTGTACATGCGTCCTAAGAGTTCTCAGCCAACTTAATGTTTTTGAGTTAACGTACCAGAAATGGTGTTGTGGCACGATGTCAGAATGTCAGGGCGCAACAGTCATGTTGATTCTCGGTGTTGAAGTCCCAGGAATGTGTTCATCATCGTTCAGACGCAGCAAAAACTGTGATTCGCGGCGTTGAAGTCGCAGGAATGGCGTTCTAGCGCAATACTGGGTTTCCAGTCGGTTGTCTTCCAATTGGGCATGTCTCTTAGTGAAAATGAATTCGTGTGGGAGCTTATGAACAGGGAGATTTGAGGGAAGGTTTATTTAATCGCTTCGCTCATTCCGCCGGCCCATACAGTCTCATGTCTGCCGTTTGCCCGAGGGCTTGGTGTCAATGCGGCGCTTTGGGGGTTCCTGGGGCCGCTTGGGGGACTCCTGGGGCGCTCGGGGGGGCATTTGGGGGGCCTCCTGGGGCCGCTTGGGGGACTCTTGGGGGCCTCCTGAGGGCCTCGTGGGGGCCTCTTGGGGCCTCTTGGGACCTCTCAGGGGCCTCTGGGGTCCTCCTGGGGGCTTCTTAGGGCCGAGGGCTGGACATGTTGTGTCGTGTTCCCCCCCTGGGGCCGCTCTTGGGGCGTTCTTGGGGCCCTCTTGGGCCGTCTTGGGGCCCTCTGGGGCCGTTTTGGGGCCATCTTGGCTCGTCGTAAGGCCCTTGTGGGGGGCTCTTGGGCACTCTTGAAGCGGTCTTGGGGGCCTCTTGGGCCGTCGTCGGGCGTTGGAAAGCGGAAAGGGTGGGAATACCAAAATCTCACCAAAACCTAAGGAAAAACAATGAATTTTGCCTATTGGGGCCCTCTTGGGAGTGCTCTTGGAGGCCTCCTGGGGCGTTTGGGGGCCATATGGAGCGTCTTGGAGCGATCTTGTGGCATCTCGGAGCCCTCTTGTAGCATCTTGGGGGCGTTTTGGGGCGTCTGGAGGCTCTCTGGAGGACCTCGAGGGCGGCACCCAGGAGGGAGAACATCTCTGACGGGACCCTCCCGGGAGTCTCCCGGGACCTTGCCGGGGTACTTTTCGTGGGGAGACCCCCAGGGGCCGCCCCGCGCGCGCGAAGAAGAATATTGTAAAGCAGTCACCGGAGATCTTAGCACGCCTCTGGCCCGTTGGGCCGGCGAATTGCAGTATCGTTGATGCGTCTTGGGTTTGCACTGGTCTTTCGTCCTGTTCCTTTTCCTGGGCGTCTTTCTCTTCACTTCGTCGATTGACTCGAACGGTATCTTTACATCCTCTGTCCATCTCCCCTGCTTGTCTACCGTACGCATTTCTGGGTGCAGGGGGGTATCTCTATTGCCTTTGGGGCTCAAGGCACTTTCCCGCGCCGGCCTCTTACGCGCCTCATAAACACCGTGGCTGCTGCTTTCGGCATTGAAAAGTGTCATCCTTATCCGCACATTCCCCATTTTCAGGTTGATAGCGCAGCTCCCGATCCCTTCCACTTCCCCGCCATGGCCCGCGTGGCATTTTTTGCCCAGCCTCGACGGCACCGACTTCTCTGTCACCGCCTTCAAGCTCAAAGGGGTCACCGCCCTCAGTCTCCCAGCAGTTCATGCCCGATCGCCTTCGCGATGTTTTACCCGTACCTCGTGACGGGGGAGCCGCACACGCCTTATTTAAAATCGGGCAAGGATTACGATTTCAAGCTCTTCAAGGGTCGTGGCGCCCTGCCGCCCCCGCCTGCTCTTCATCCCTGGTTCGCGCAGATGTTTGGGCAGACTACGGCCGCGTTTCTCCCGCAAGTGGAAATACCCACAGAAAAGGATTCAGTTGCGCATAGTAAACAGTTCATCGATACATCTGTCACATCAGCGGCGACGGCCAAGGGTTCCGAGCCATTCTCATCAGTCACGAGAGCCCTGGGAAGAGCGGCAGAAAGGTGGGAAGTCCGTGGAGGGTCGGGCGACTATGTTGTTAGAACTCCACATGACGGCGAACCAAACCTGGGAGCTTCTGTCTTTGATCCCTTGAAGCATGACCTGCCGCCACACCCATCTACGCCCTTCAGTCTGGCAGGACGAGATCCCGATGCGCACTCTTGTGGGCGATCGTGTAGTCGGGGGCGTTCCGTGCAGCGACGAGACGACCCACGACGAGCATTGCTACAATTATGTTGCGGGGTGTTCCGAGTGCCGAGAACGCCACAACGACGCGACGCAAGATCACGCCCAATACGCTGACGAATAGGGGAACATCCGAGGCATGTGTCCACGTCAATTCAGAGGCTCATGGTCAGAGCAATGCCGTCGGTGGGCCCCCCGCCCCCAGTGCCTATGGGGGGACTCCCACTCCGGATGGAAGGCCATCGGAGTGGGCATGCTTGCCCTGGCGAGCTGCCCATCCTGCGTTGGCGCAGGCAGCGGCGGCGGCGGCAACGCGCCGCGCCCCTGCGCCAGGGGGGCCGAGAAACAATCTCGAGCGCCTTTCCATTCATAGGCGCTTAAAAATAATCTGGACAGTGGCGAAATCAGATCTCAACGAGTTCCGCCAGGCAGCTTTCGCATCATCGCGATTCGACAGTATGGCGCGTGAGTCCGCGGACGAATGGCCGCTAGGTGTCCCGTTCCAACGAGCGCGCATCATTGGTAACCCAGTGCCGTCGATTACCTTCCGAATGCGCAGTTCGGCCGAGCGACGGTGCCGATTGGGGGGAGGGGCGCGCCTCGGCATTCTCGGCGTTCATGAACGTCAATGGGCCGCCGCAGGGGCGCGGCGACAACTTCCTCGCGCGCTTTGACATTTTGCGCAACCGCGCGCGCCGATGTTGTCAACCCCCGATCGGCCGCAAGGGTCTCAGCTACCCCCTCTTGCGCGCGGCCGGAGTGTCAAACGTCTGGCTGACGGACATTCAGCTGGCCCCGATACTGCAGCATTACAGCATCATGGCCCGCCCGATCAACGCAGCCAAGCTCGCGCACGCGGCGGGCCAGCTGCGACGCTTCGGTCGCGCGATCGAGGGATCGACCGGGAACGTCGCCTCAGCGGCCCGCTCCGCCTAACAGCAGGCCTGCCTCGCGAGCACGCCCGCGCGAGGTCGGGCTCAGAGTGCCCGCGGCAGTGCGGCTGGATCGAGCCAGGGCGGCCTGAGTCCAGCTGCGCCAGGAGCGGCGCCGAGCCCGCTTGCGCCTGCGCCGCCGGCGCAGGGGCATTCCAGGCAGCAGGCGTCGACTCAGGCGCCGGCGCCGACGCCGCCAGTTCGCTCAGCGAAGGAGTAATAGCACGCGGCGCCCCCGTGGAAAAGCGCGGCGCGCTCCTCTTCTGGGCGCGCGGGCGCGCCGAAGCGCGCGGGCGACGCTTCGGCGGCCGCGCGCCCGCGCGCCGCGCCTGGGGGGCCATCGAACGGACAGGCAAGGGCCGCGGCAGAGGCCGCCGGGCCTTCTTGGCCGACTTGTCTGATAATCACCCCCGAGCAACGTTGGCGGGTTTCTGGGGGGGCAAAGATGCAGGGGGGGGCCGGGTCCGGCGGCGCGGGTTCGGGCCGACGAGGCAACCGCGCGGGCCCTGGCGGGGTGCGTCTCAAATGCCGCGAATGCCAGTCAGGGAAACGCCTCGTGCGCGAGTGCCCCCGGCGCCGTCGCTAAGGGCACGCCTTCTTCCTCGGCGCCTGCGCCCCGCCGCCAGCATCCGCGCCGCTCGCGCGCCGTGGGCGGCGAGGGCCACCGAGCCTACATGAGCAGCTGCCCTCGACGGGCGCGCGCGCGGTCTGGATGGCGAGCGGCGCCGCCGGGACTCCACAACCTACGACTGCGCGCCCTGGCGAGAGCGACCCCGCGCGGCGCGCTGACCCGCGGATTGGCGGACGGCCAGCGCCAAGATCGGCAGCGCAGCAGCCGGCGGCAGCAATCGCCACTCCAAGTTCGTCGCCCGACGGCTCGCGACAGCAGATTGGCCGCGGCCAGCGGTCGCGATGGGCCGGGACAGCATCGCTTTCATCATCGTGGCCCCATCCGCGCGACGCCGAAAAATCTCGGGCACGGAGTGATCGCCGCGGGTTTCGTTTCTCGTCTTTGGTTCGATATGGATCGGCGGGTCATCCGGCGTGCACTCCTCCGTTGGGTCTCTTCGGGCGTCGCCCCGGCCACCTGGCAGGGGACACCGCGCAACAGCTGGTGTCAGACACGACGCGGCCCCCCTAACAGCAGCTAGTGTCGGCTCCGCTTGCCCAGCGCCATCCGGGGTCTGCCCGACTTAAGCGATGGCGCCTGTGCCACTGTCGCCCGTGGGAACAGCCAGTTGCTCTTCTGTCACGCCAGGGGATCCCTGCCTTCCTTGAGAACCCTGACTCTTCTTTTCTTTGGTCTACCCCCCCGCTCGTCAGACTCGCCTCCTTCCCCTATTCGCGAACTCTCGTTTTTGGTTCCCGTGGCTTCGGGACCCGTTGGAGGAAACGCGCACGAGCCCAAGCATGGGCTCACGGGGGAGGGGGAAGGAGGAAGGAAGGAGACTCGGGGCGCTGTCTCAAAACGAAGAAACGCAGACCCAACACCACAGGCTGGTTGTGAGGAACGGAGAGGTCCGAAACGGCCCCCGAGGCGCTCGCGACGAACACAGAGGCCCACGACGGGACCCCCCGTGTTGCGCAACCAAAAACTACGAGCATCGTCCCTGGCGCCCACTGGAGGGCCCAAGACGGCGTTTGGCGAGTTCAGAAATCGCCAACATGTGCCGAGAAAGCCCCCCAAAGGGCTCCACGGAATCCTCCCGTGCTGGTTTGCCGTGTTCGCCCGCCGTGCTTTCTCGTTCGGCTGTCTCTCTCCCCGTCCGTTTCGTTCGCGTTGTCCCTCGGTTGTGTACGCCGCCCATCCGAATTATCCGAGTATCATGGCTTGGGCGAAGGCGGGGGTGGGAGGAACGTTGTTCAATTTCTTGTCGTGCCATCACGCTGCTCCCCAAACGTCTGGACCCCTTCCCGGGGACCGGCTTCCTTTCCCGAGCAGCTGCTTGACGGCCCCAGGGCCCCGAAAGGGCCCTCAGGGGGCCCAAAACGGTCAAGAAACCTTTCGCGTGACCGCTACACGACCTCCTCCGACGTTGTTTTTCCCGGAAAGGGCGTAGGCCCAGGGTTCTCTTTTAGTATGTAAACATATCCCCCCGTGCCCAACTTGAAGGAGGCCGGCGGATTCTTTCCCTGATCAATATCGAGGTCGAAGGAGGCCGGCGGATTAAAATTTGAGGATGTCTCAGGCGAAACGCTTGTTTTTGAAATCCCGATCGATAAATCACAGGGTGCGGGACACAGGGTGCACACCTCAGCACGACCACACCCCAGCACGACCACACCCCAGCACGACCACACCCCAGCACGAGCACGACACCCCAGCACGACCACACCCCAGCACGACCACACCCCAGCACGACCACACCCCAGCACGACCCGATCGATAAATCACAGGGTGCGGAGCACCCCAGCACGAACCCACCCCAGCACGACCCCACCCCAGCACGACCCCACCCCAGCACGACCACGCCCCAGCACGACCACACCCCAGCACGACCACACCCCAGCACGACCACTCCCCAGCACGACCCCACCCCAGCACGACCCCACCCTAGCACGACCACACCCCAGCACGACCACACCCCAGCACGACCCCACCCCAGCACGACCACACCCCAGCACGACCCCACCCCAGCAGACCACACCCCAGCACGCACGACCACACCCCAGCACGACCACACCACAGCACGCCCCAGCACGACCACGCCCCAGCACGACCACGCCCCAGCACGACCACGCCCCAGCACGACCACGCCCCAGCACGACCACCCCCCAGCACGACCACCCCCCAGCACGACCACACCCCAGCACGACCACTCCCCAGCACGACCACACCGCCTTGGTTGAGTGGTTGCCTGTCGTCGTGGAATGTTTCGTGGGGTGTCTCGTGGAATGTTTCGCGGGGTGTCTCGTGAAATGTTTCGTGAGGTGTCTCGTGGAATGTTTCGTGAGGTGTCTCGTGGGCTGTTTCGTGAGGTGTCTCGTGGGATGTTTCGTGAGGTGTTGCCCAGTTGGGTATCATGAAAACGTGTCCATGCTCCACATGTCTATATCCCTTTCCGGGTTCGTGGGTCCATCATGTTTTCGTGACGTCGCCCCCGTAGATTTCGACCGCTTCACCAGGGCCAGCCAGCTGTTTATCCCGAGCTGTTACTTCACGGCCCCATGGCCAGGAAACGGCCTCCAGAGGCCGAAAACGAAAACAACATCGACCGTCACAATCGTTGCTTGCGATGCCCGGATCTGACGGGGAGGGGCGGAGGTCGGCGTCGAAATCCGAACCCTACCCTCGCCGGTCCACGATTCAGGCAACTCGATGGGCGGCGGCGGTTGGGTTCGGCATGCGTCGAACCCGTGGCGAAGTCCGAACCCTGCCCCCCGCCCCCCGTGGAGCCAGGAGACTCGATGGTTGGTGGAGTCGGGGCTCGGGCGTCGCCACCTGGGAGGGCTCCCGGGCGCCAGCCCTCCGGCCCCTCCCCCGAGGCGCCTCCCCGCGCCGCGCCGCCGCTGGACGCCTCGTGCCCAGAGCCGGCGGCGGCCGCGGCGGCCAAGGCGCCGCTCCAGCTGGCGCCCAGTCTGCAGGCCTCGTCGCCGCCGCCGCCGCCTCCGCTGCCGCCCTCGTCGCGGTCCTCGTCGCCGCCGCCGTCGCCTCCGCCGCCGCCGTCGCCGCCGCCACCGTCCTCGTCGTCGCCGCCGCCGCCCTCGTCGCCGCCGCCCTCATCGCCGCCGCCGTCGCCATCGCCGCCGCCGTCCTCGGCAGCCCAGGGTCCCGTTCAGCCGCACCTCAGCGGCCGCTCGCCGCCGCTGCGGCCGCGGGTCCTCCTCCTCCGGCGGTTGCGGTTCTTGCCCGGGGGTGGCCGTGTCGTCCCGAGGTTATCTGACGGTCTTTTTGTGCTTCGTCCCGGGATTCGGCCCCCGGGGCCGAAGTCTCCAGAGTTGGTAAGATAAGCGGGGTTCTAACGATGGTGCAATGTGGTTAGAAGCGCGTTGTGATCCAGCCAGTATGTTACAAACATCTTACCACCGCGCAGCAATGCTGTCACGAGCTCAGAGATGCATGTGTGATACTACTGATCGTAAATTGAGATAAGCGTTGCGTGAGCCATCGCAACTGTTCTCCCGCCGCGTAAGTTGATTTATACGGTTGTGGTATTCAATAAGTTGGGCAACCAGCCCTCAGCGCAAGTCTACCAGCAATATACCAGCAGTCTTCCGCCGAAAGAAAGTCGGGTGTTGGCAGGTTTGTACGTGTATTTCTGTTCATCGTTTTTCTGAGCCCTCACAGGTGCGCCTGGTAACTCAGAACATGTTGTTTTATGTCCGTGTGTCCGGCACTTGGGAAGCGGAGGCCAAGAATCTACGAAAAGATTGCCGACGTGTTTTTCCCCCAACCCTCGTGCCTTGGGTTATCGTTCTGAGTAGAGCACTGCCCGCGCGTCTCCCGACTTCCGCCTCCCTCCTCCTCTCTTCCTTTCTGCCTCTTGCCTTGCTCCCTACTGCCTGTCAGCCTGCCTCCTACCTCGCCGTCCTACGTGACCTCGCCATCCCTGGGGAGCTGCGATCTGCGAAAGCGTTGCGACTTTTGGAAGCTGCTGAGGGGTCCAGCGGAGTGACGCACCGCGCGCAGATTCAAATTAGACCTCGCCATCCCTGGGTGGCTGCGATCTTTGAAACTGTCTCTCTCTCTCTCTCTCCTATTTTGAGGGCTGCTGGGTGTAATATGGATCGGCGCGCAGCGCCGGGAAGCTTGTTCTCTCTCTCTTCGGGAGCCTTGAGACGGGGGTCAATGCAAACGGGGGTCAGCCAGGGCGCCAGAGCCTGCAGGATCCTGCGAAGACCCCCTCTGGCTGACCCGGGTTTGGGAGCCGCTCGTGGCCGCGAGGCGGCCGCACATATTGGCTGACCCGGGTTTGCGAAGACCTGCGTTGCAGTTTTTTTTTCCTGCATTGCAGTTTTTGGTTTCCTGCTAACCCGGGTCTGGATTGACCCGGGTCAGAAGATCCCCGATCTCTCACGTAGCGAGCGGGAGACAGGGTGAGAGCAGCAATAGCCAGTTCAGGGAGCAAGGCGGAGTCTCGGCGGAAGGACGATCGACGTGCCATCGGATCGACCGAACCCACATTCCTCCTGTTTGGCGCCACGGGCAGCCGGGGCGACGAACCCTGCAGCTCGGTCGCAACAGCAACTTCTTGACCTCGGATCGAATTATTGTGATATTCCAGCAGCAGCGAGAGTGCCGGGCACGGCACTTCTCACAAGAGAGGGGCGGGCAAAATGCCTGACACGGCTTGCACCAGGGAGCCTTGGGCTATTAGTTATTGGATGCGCTACACAAGCCTGCGAGAAATTAATTATCATCTCGGCGTGGCTATGGGATAAGACAAGCAACAAAGGTGCAAGTATGGTCGTCAACACATAACAACTTGTGCACACTGCATACAAAACTTCTGGCTGGCATGCGGATTTACGTGGTAATCTGTAATTCGAAAATAAAACGTGTGATTCGGACTTGCGTGATCGGGGTCGCTTTGCGACCCGCAAGAGACACAGCACAGCAGTGCAATGCGGACTTGCGTCATCGGGGTCGCTCTGCGACCGGCAGGGGATGCGGGGGACGCGGCCGCCGGGGAAGTCATTCCCTCGGCTCTCGCGGCCCTGGAGCGGGCCTTCGTCGTCGGACAGCTCCCAGTGGGCTGCCTCCAGCGGTGGGCCAACTCCCACCCCAGCGTGTAGTGCATTTGCGAGAACTCGGGCTCGTGCTCTCTGTAGTTGCGTACGAGCCAGGATGCGTACTTCCTGCAGGTCCGGCACGTGACGTAGAAGCTGTGGTCAGGCCCTAGGAAACCAGGACACGGAAAACCAAGGAAACGACATCGTTTCCTGCAAAGTTACGTTTTTCAGCACCCGTGCATGTTTTGTTTGCTGCACTGCAGGATTCGGGATTGTGTCCGGGTTTAGGGGGGCCTTGCAGGCTTTTTGAGGCTTGTGTCCAGGTTTATTCTGGAAGTGCTGCAGTGCAGTATTTTGTTCGTGCTGCCGTTTGGAAAAATTGGTTTTTAGGGATGTTGGGTGTCCCGGTTTAGCGTGTCCGGGTCTACGGGGCCCTGATGTGGTGGTTGTGTCCAACCGAAAGGTTGTGCTCTGCGACAGAGCAGGCGTTCATCTCCGGCGGCGCGACCGTAGGCGTAGATCCGCTCCAGGAAACCAATCTCGTATTCGATGAACTGGGAACCGAGACCACGCTTGGTGATGACGGTGCAAATGATCTGCTCCCCGGTGCCGGTGTCGTCGCTGACCTCGAAGGCGGTGATCCAGACGGTGGGCTCGGGGCTGGTGTTGCTGCGCTGGCGCTGGCGCTGGCTGCCGACGAGCATGATGCCAGGCCACTGCCAGGACCGTTCACAGGCGGCATGGTGATGTCGCCATCTTGATCTCGATCTTCTCGGATGGTCGGCTGTCTCGTTAGGTTGTTGCGCCTGCCCAGACGTCGTCCGTCCCAACTAGGGTGTTCACCCTCCTCTGCCTTAGGCTCTGATGCCGTCGGAGGCTCGCACAGTGAGAGCAAGTGGTTCTGCCTCAGGATCGCCCACATGCTATGCTGCATCCGATGACCATGCCGAGAAAGAAGGCAAAGCAGGTCAGGTAGCACGTGTAGCAATAGAACGTACAGCCGTTGGGCGGGGTAGGCGATGGCGTAGGCTGCCCCTTGACCCTGCCGAGGCAGGTGAACAGGACCGAGGCAAGCATGGCGGCGTGCGGCTGCTGGGTGTCGTAGGTGTGCTTGCGGGTCCCGAAGAAGGAGAGCAGCGCGCCAGCCTCATCCCCTTCGTTAAGGCGTCTGCGACCATGGCCCAGTTTGGAATCCAGCTGAGCCGTCGGGTTCTGTTCGGGTATACAGCCTCCTTGATCGTGGAGGCGGTGATGCGGAACCGCTCGTCCGTGAACTGGCCCACGTCGGACGGACTGGATGTGCGTCGCGAGGCCCTTGCTGTCGCTGCAAAATCTCCCCAGGTCGCCTCTCCGCGAGCTCGTCGATTACCCCTGAGCGGCTTCTTGGGGTTGGGGAGGAGGAGGAGGAGGAGGAGAAGGAGGAAGAGGAGGAGGAGGAGGAGGAGGAGGGTAGGCCTTGGTGAGCAGCTGGCGGCACCAGGTGTGGGTCTCCGCTCCCTCCTCGAGGGCCGCGCGGCCCTCGGCGGCGAGGGCCGATTGTCGCCGACCTCTCTCTGCTGCGCCCGAGTGCCAGGCCACGGGCGAGCACGGGTCGGAACGGCCTCCGATGACGTCCCCGGGGACGACGCGTGAGCCCCGTCGCCATGCCCCACTATCGGAGGCCTAGAGGTTGACACCAACACCAATATCGGCGGCGTGCTTCCACCGAGGGAAGGTGATCCCGATCCAGGTGATGGTGGTAATATTCGGGCTTCTTGGTGGCCGAAAGATTACCACCAACACCAAAATCCAGGATCATCTTCCTCCCGGGGAGGCAACCCCTGATGTTGGTGTTGGTGCCAATTTCCAAGCTTCCAACACTAGCCCTTGACCCCGTCCACGTTTGCGAACGCGGCGTCGCTGAAACAGACGTTGGTGCACGTCATCAGGTCGACGAGGTTCCGCTTGAGCACGATCGCAAAGTTCGCGGTGGAGTGCACGTAGGCGACGGTTTTGTTCAGCGTCTTGGCGTCGGCCACGATTGCGGCAGTCGTGCGGCGAAAGGCGAAGCTCTCCGGGCAGGCGATGTCGACCCGGGTTTGGACTGCCAGCCAGAGCGGTTGCCTGAGCGAGTTTTGGTAGCTCGACACTTCTGAGGTATTGAGTCGATCCTCTGCACCTCGGCCTCGCTCGGCCTTGAAGTCTATGAAATCCACCTGCGCGGCGGCGGTGGTCTGGGTCACCCTGAACTCGTCGTCGAGTTTAGTGATGGCACGTCCGCAGTATTTGGATGACCCCCGCGACCTTGGGTGCAGCTTCTTTGCCAGCGAGACGATCGTGGATCTCCAGCGGCTGGAGTCGGTGCGCTGGGCGATCAGGAAGTCGTCCGCGCGCGGGTGAATCATGGCGGCGAGCCCCTTCTCGTCGTAGAAGTAGTAGAGACCCCTCTCGAGCTTGCTCTCAATGAGGCCGTCCTCGGCGAAGACCTTCTGCGCGTAAAGGTGCCGCTGCCGGCCTGCGTCGCGCGCCTCGTGGATCGCGCCGGTGGCCGTCGCGATTTCACTGGGCTGCATCCCGAGCGGCGGGTTCTTGGCCGGCACGCGCAGAGGCAGCGGCCTCTCGATGTTCCCTGACTGGAGGTAGGCCGTCATCGCGTCGCAGGACTCGAGGCCCCAACCCTTCTGGGCCGCAACGGCGAGAGTCAGGTACAAGGCGCCCCTCGATGTCCTGATCTGCGACTTGTCCTTCTGGCAGCCCTGGGCGACCACCCGGGCCTTCGTGGCGTCCTGGCCCTCCCCGGTGAACGCCCAGCGTGCACCCGCAGGGAGAAAGCCAGCGTTACGACGCAGAAGCTCCTTCAGCTCCTTGGCAGGGAGCTTCTTCCAGGCGCCAATCTCCGCCCACTTAGACCACCCTGCCCCCGTGGCGATGTT